CCAGAAAATAACGTTTCATCACGTGCTTTCCTTATCATTCTATGATTTGTCAAATGGAAGATACAGCAATTGGAATAATTAGTACTGAAATTGACACTTTCGACTAGGATTGGCTAAAAGTTTTACAACTGAGGTTTAACATGCCCAGACGCAGTTTTATAAAGAAAACAGACTAGAAAAAGGTTTAGATACCAATCACAGATGGCAGGACCAGTGCTGAAGTGAAAGGAAATATCTTTAAAAAATTTTTGAAAAAACATTTCTTCTTAGAGGGCGCTTATTTACAGTCTAAAACGTATTTTAGGAATTCTTCCATTAAATTTCTCTTTAAACTTCATTAAAGAATACAATTTTGTACAAATAATTGAATGTTATGCTACTATTTATAAAAATAAAATCAGAAATCCATTAAAAGATAAGTTCTCTATCATTTTTTCAATTCACAAATGTACACTTGCATTGCCTACTAAGAAAGTTAGTACCGGTAGTCATCGGGTTAACAGGTGTTTAATGCCAATGAGATAGGGCTCCTTTACAAGAAGATTGACAACAGGATATACATAACCAAGGAACAGAAGGTAGCATCTGGGTTTAAAGCCTCTAAGGATAGGCTCACTTTGCTTTTTTTGCAGGAACGCATCGGGGGATTTTAAATGCAAGCCATGTAGTGTATCACTCCGCAAACCCACACACATTAAAAGGCAAGAATAAGTGACATTTGTCTGTTGTTTAGTGTTTAAATAAAAAGGCTTGGGCAACTAGGATGCTATTCAATGACTGGTTGCAAAATTATTTTGAGCATGAGGTTAAAGAATACCCGGCAAAGAAGAACCTTGACTTTAAGGTTCTTCTAGTTTTGGATAATGTTCCTTTTCATGACCCTGACACACCACAATTCAGCCATCCTATAGTGGAGATAATATTTTTACCTCCAAATACAACATCCATCTTGCAACCAATGGACCAAGAAGTAATATAGACATTCAAGACTTACTATACAAGGAATGTCTACCGACATGTAACCCAAGCTATAGACTACAGTGTTTTCAAAAACTTAACCAAGTTTTGGAAAGCTTATAACATTAAGGACTGTATTTATATCACCAAAATGTCATGGGACAAGGTGAAAGAATCTACCATAAATGTATGCTGGCATCATCTTTGGCCTGAAGTTGTGAACGATTTCAAGGGCTTTCTGACAGTTGAGAAGGAAATTGCAGATATTTTGAGACTAGTTAAATAAATCAGAGGTGAGGGGTTTGATAATATGAGGGATGAGGAGGTGGGTTGAGATGTTGAAATCCCATTACCAAGAGCCAATGAAGAACTTGAAGTGCTAATAGTCTCCAGCAACAGTGATGAAGATGCTGAAGAGACAGAACCTGCTAAACCCATCCTTACAGCGAAGACTGTGTCTGATTTCCTATGCAAGGCAGATGAGCTCGCAGAAATGGCTGTAGACACGGATCCAACTATGGAGAGAAGCATTAAATTTAAGAGACACTTTAATGACGTTCTAACACTCTACAGAGAAGTCTTGAAAGAATGCCAAACAACCAAAAATTACTGACTTTATGAAGCCCAAGTTAGCTGATGTAATGCCTTCTGACCCTATCCCAACAACTTCTACATCTGCTTCATTGGAGTTTGATGCTGAATTTTCTGATAATCCATCAGCCTTAAGCTAACCTCTCAGCCTCCAAATCTATTATTATCATCATCAATGCAAGTCTTCCTTTCATCAACAAAAGGTCTTCATCTTCATCATTCATAGGTGAGTGTTACAACAAAATACAGTACTGTATTATTTCATTTAACATATTTTCATTTACAGGTGCAAGATATCACATGTGAATGTAATTATGTTTATGATTTTACAATACTGTATAGATAAAGATATTCATTTACGTGTAAAAAAAAATCCATATATATCAATCCTATAAGATATTGAGTTCCTCCAACACAGATTTGCTCAACATGGCTGGCTCGAGGAATGTATCTCGTGTTGTCGGAGGGCCAACTGTATTTATTTATGGTGGTTACAAGGTTGGTTAAATCAGCTGAGCCTGTATAGAATTAGGGTAGAGAAAATAACAGATAAAATATAAAGCTTAATGGAAAAAAAAGTTTGATATTTATTTGAGAGGCTTTACTTAAAGCTCACTCAAATGGAATTTGAAAATTTTCACATGAAAAAATATATTTTTAATAATTAAAATCAAAATTACTTGGCACTTGGAGCAGTCAACACTCTGACGTCATATATTCATAGAAAAATCTTTTGTGAAAGTACTTTAAAAAATTGATTTTTTGTGTACCAAATACTTGTAATGTTTACTGAAAACTTGCCAAGATAAACAAATCATATTAAAAGTTATAGTATGGAAACTCTGGTTACAGAGTCAGTCACATCGACTGACATTATTATTATAATACATGCCCCCCAGTGGCACAGCGGTATGTCTGCAGACTTACGACGCTATAAACCGGGTTTCGATACCCATGGTGGGCAGAGAACAGATAGCCCATTGTGTAGCTTTGTGCTTAATTCCAAACAAACAATTATAATACGTTTTTTAATTTCTTAATTCAAAAGTACATATTAAAAAAAAGCTAAATATCAATTTTTTTTTGTATCACATCGTACATCTTCTGCTTTTCTCAGATTGCATTGTAAGTGTCATGAAATGTAAAGTCTATAGTTTTTAACGAACTAGAAACTCAACTTACCAATACTAACAAGCTAGAATATAAAATAAGAACCTCCACAGTGGGTCTACCTACCTCTTTGTCATTTGAAAACACTTGTTTACCTTAGCCCACTTCTCTTAAGTACTTGTTTATAACCAATTGAAAACACTCATTTTGAACTTTGTAATCTTGTCAGTCTTCCTAAAGTATTAAAGTGGGTAAAGCCATTATAACTGTTGGAGAGTTTAAAGAGTGGTGATCAAAGTGACATTCTAGTCAGAAATGAGATTTTTTAAGACCAAAATACAGCTTAGTTAGGAAATCTGATAAATTACAGTGGAGTTTTGTGGTATCAGTATAGCAATATATAATTTTTTATTATTCCAGAATTATGCAGAATTGATGAAAAGTGCTTTTTACAATCATTTGATAATACATTAATTATTTATAAAATATGATTAGGGTCTGAAAACCTATCAATGGGTAACTTAATTCTTTATTTTAGGTAGTGTGTTCCATGTTCCCATTTATACCTTGTAAACCATCATTCAAATAAAAAAATCTAAATTGTTCCATATTCCAGACTTTGTGAAATCAGTTATCATCAAGCCATCAATTTGCCTACTTTTGTTCACATTTTATCCTCTCCTGTGATTATTGAATAAACTTGTTATTTTAAATTTTAATCTAAATAGTTTTGAAGTTATTAAAAGGTACACAATGGGCTATCTATGCTTTACCCACCACGAGTATTGAAATAAATGCTGCTGTGGCAGTGGAAGGGGGGGGGGGTGCTCTTAAGCTGTAATTGCTTCTTGCAAAAATTGTGCAACAACTTTGTTAATCTGTAATGACAATAGTATTTTCTCTTTCACAAATATATATATGTTGAGAAGCAAAATTACTTAGTAGTTTCTGGTAGCCTTTTACACAAATTTATGGCATATTTTATTGTATCCTGGTATTTGAAAAAGGCCAATATTTGGGACAATCAAATAACACATCAGTTTGTTACATCCTGACCTGTCTGAACTCAAATGATGTTAGTACTGTGTCAAACACCAAATAAACTGATATGACAATAGTAAACAACCTTTGAGGTTTAGTTCATTTCAAATTTTGTTCTCAATATCTTCTAAATGCTCTGATATCTGAATAATTTCATGGATAATTACTTGAAAAATGAATCTACTATAATTTTATCCATCAGTGGGCCAATGGTAAGTTTATAGACTTCAAACACTTAGAACTTAGGGTTCAATTCCTCAAGGGGACAAAGTGCAGACAGCCCATTGTGTAGCTTTGCACTGATAAAACAATATGACCTTATGGTCACAGTGCTCGACTCGCAATCTGTGGGTGCCAGGTTAGAATCCTCGTCACTAAACATGTTCATCCTTTCACCTGTGGGTGTGCTATGATGTGAGGTTAATCCCACTATTAGTTGGAAAAAAGATTTGGTGATGAGTGGTGTTGAGTAGCTTTTTACATCCTCCATGTGCAAAATTCAATGAGGTTTAGTAAGTACAACACGAGTACAAAACTTTCGTAATATCGTAAGTAGTAGAGATCATTGTTTTTCTATATATTTTTTATTTAATTATTGTTCTATGTTTCAAGAACAATAACTGAAATTTATTTGTATTGTACAAAATTCTGGTACACTAGTAAGTACTAGGACTAAGAAGAGTAAGACACTTGTACTTTGTAAAGGTTAGTTTATGCTATCTGATATGGTAACTTCAGATGGAGATGCACTATATGATTTACAACTTGTGTTGCAGGATTATTAGTCAAACACAGTTCAAAGGTCAATAAAACCAAAAAACAAAATAGATGCAAATCATTCTAGAAAGAAAAAAAGGGTAATTTAAATTTATTTTCTAACTTTTTATAGTGGTTACAAGGTCAATCAAATTGATCAACCCTGTATAGAGTTAGGGTAGAGAAAATAACAGATAAAATAAAGTTTTTCCAAAAAGAACATTTGATATTTATTTAGGAGATTACAGAGATTATGCAAATGAAACTTGACAATTTTCAGATGAAGAAAAGTATTTTTAGTCTTAAAATCAAAATTACTTTCCATGTTAGATAGTAAACATTCTGAAAACAAAAATTCATGAGTAAATTTTTAATTCAAATATTTAAGTAAAAAATCTGATATTTTGTGCACAAAAATCTTGTATGTTTACTGAGAGTTTGCAAAATTTTGTGAAGATATGCATATATTATCAAAAATTATAGTATTATGACTAATCTCATGGTTACTTTGGTGATTAAATAGTAGATGCAGAGAGTTAAGTAATATAGGTATTTTTAAATTTTTTCACTTAGTCTGATTCTATGCAGGTTTACCATGCACAGTAAATTTTCATTCTATTTACCTTTGTTGTTCTCTAGCAAACAGTATTTATTCTACTCATGGAGATATTGTTGTAATGATAGCAACGTCCTTCACTGACCAAGTACGTGATATCTAGAGTCTAGTGCCTTTACTACATTGTACAAGAATGTCCAGTCATGTCATTATGAGTAAATCTGATTTTCCTGTTAGTATGGAGCATTGGATTCACATCAGTTCTACAAGACTTCCAGTGTGTGTCAGGTGACAGAAAAACATCTTAAGAGATGAAAACTGTTGATTTGTTCCTAATCCTATAGAAGACAACTGCCCAGCATCTATACAACTATGCACACTATTTTGTGCTTTGACAAATAATAAAGAATGTTTTACTTTACATAACATGTCCAATCTGTTTATTTTCTTCACTTATACTTTAGTTAAAATCAGGCTTAGGTGTGAAATATTTTACTGCCATGATTGCAGTCTTTACTGATGTGTGTGTATTGGCCCTTACTTGGCTACTTGAGTTAAATGAGGTTAAAGTCATTCTTCTGAATGAAAGAATGACATATTCTCAAAGCAGAAGTACTTTCTACCATAAAGAAGAGTTTACTGCAGGAGAGAGGTGTTGAATCAGGAGAAGTCTCTCCAATGCTGCAAAGGTCTCTGAAATGATTGTGTGATTTCTGGAAAAAATTAGACAGGGAGATCAAATCTTGCCCCTGAGGACCAATTTTGGCACAATGGAAGCAAGGTTGACTGAGGGTCACTGAGGTGGGATAAAATTTGGTGAGTTAAAGGCCATTTGGGGAGTCTCTACAAGCCTCTTGAGCTGTCACCAGTCAGAGTACTGCAGCCCCATCTCTGGTCAATACCAACCTTGACCAACCAAAAAGGAACAAAAATACCTCTAATGAGCAACCTTCACAAGTCAGCTATTTTACTTGAAGGTGAGACAACAGGCACACATAGGAAAAGACCACAAATCATGTGGTAAAAGTGAGCCTCTCCAAGCCAGACAGTATCCTGCAATCATGATCAAAGCTTGCAACAAAACCTGGGGCTGTGCAGAGCCATAAGAAAGGTTTTCATGAGCAAGTTATTGCTCTGCCTTTTTGAGCAAAAGATGGACTAACTGCCCAAGTGCTAGAGTCCCTGAGTATGTCTATTGCCCTATATCTATGACATCTCAGATGAGTATTGGTTGAGAACCCATGAGGGAGAGGCTTTGGCTGGCAAAACAGGTCCTTTTGAGTGAAGCCAAACCTGTAAGGTTGAGTTCCTGGTTGAAACAGAAATAGCCAGAACACTGGTGGACCTTGTGAAATATCAAGCCCTTGAAGTGAGACCACCACTATGACCAGTGGATACTAACTTTGTTCTGGTGAATGCCAACAGGCTAGATGTTAAAAAAAAATATATCTGTGGCTCTGCCTAGGAAATGTTGCACTCAGAGTAAAGGTAGTTGTCTGATCTCAGATATGGTATTAGCATCTTTAGAACAAACACACATCAGAAGTTAACTGACAAGTTCATTTGTATAAAAGATGAGCTAATGTTCCATGGGAGTTATCCAATGTTGGCTAGATTAGGCCTAGGAATAGCGGACTGCATGAGTGTATGTAGCAGAGGGTATAACAGTACTTCTGTATACACAAGTGGTGTTCCGTGTTATACTCTGGACAACGTCTACTATGGTGGCACTGTGTAATATGAATATTGAAGCCATGCATGAAATAAACTGTTTCCTGAACAGAAAGCAGGCAGCATTATCTCAGACATTTATCAGTTTGACAAGGGATGAACTCCTAGTGTTTTTTGTAATTATGGGCAACCTACTATCCAGAATGGCTATAGGTATGGTAAGTGAAGTGAAAGTAACCAATTGCTAACAGTAATGCAAGTATCTTAATCCACAGTGAAACCTGGTCTCTTCATGAAAATTCCTGATCCTGGGCACCTTTTGGGAGTTGAAACCATAGCCACTTCTACCACAGCAAAGTCCAACCATAAAGTAGGAAATTCTGCTGGTGGATGGATACATTGATTAAATCTTTGGGAGCTCTGGGAAGAGCAACTGAAAAACTTTGACCTAATTGAAGCAGCAAGGTAAAGCCTCACCCACACTAATAGAGGAGCATAACATAAGTGCACACAGACTATTGCACATGTTGTCAGTTACAAGTGCAGGAAGGTTTGTTATGAATACTAAGGTAGCAATGAGACTAAGAATGCTTACTTAGTATTCATTTGACAATATGAATAATACTCAATAATTCTCCAAAGGTGCTGTAGTTAGTGGTCCCCCAGAGCTCCATGGCAAGAGATTCTCAAGATTTTCCATAACACAGAGAATAAAGATCACCAAGGTGCTGCTTGCACCTGTGCTAACATTCGACAGTAGTTCTTCTGGCAACATTGGAGTTGAGACCTTCAAGATGAATGGAAAACAAGTGAAATACTTGCAAAGACAAAACTGAAGTAGAATTTCTTAGGTGTAACATACCGATATATATTATACATATAACCAGATGCAAAACTAGATGATAAATCCCTAATAAACTCCTACTGCCAAGAATCCCCTGAATAAAAGAGTAAAAGTAAAATACTTGCATAGACAAAACTTCAGCAGGTTGTTTTATTTGTAATATATATGTGGCTGTATCAGTCTGGTGATTAAATTATAAGAACCTTGCAAAATGGTCAAAGGAACATAAGAAACAACAGCAGTAAGAATAGTAAATAATAAGGATAAAATAGATATGTGATCTTGATTACAATAATCAGGAGAATGAAATTAAGTAATAACAGTGCATAAAAATTTTTGTCTCAAAACACAAATTATAGTGTGTATGGCAGAAAACTAACAATGGGTCAAAGTAAAAACCTACATGGAAGACCCTCCTCTAACAACCAAAGTGAGGGTCAAAAACATGAGAAGAAAGAATTGAAGAGGAATACATGGTGTATGAATACAGACATAGTTTCAAAAAATGTCTACTGCTCAAATATCATGAAAAGATGGAAGAAATAAAAAATTCAAGTACTGAAGTCATATAACATGTCACAAGCACTTAAGGTGTAATGGAAGTAGTTTCAGCATAGTTTCAGTGAAGCATGCTCTGCAATGTGTCAAGGACATTTAGAAATTTTTATTCACATTTTGTTTATAGCATGAGTTCAAACTCAACAAGAAAGCCTTTCAGAGCTTCAGAGGTAAGTTTACCTGATTTGAAACAACCTGATACTAAGCTATTATTGCAATTGCAATTATGTCAATTAACATATACATGTATACATTATATATCATTTCTGGTATTTGTAACTTAAGAGTATTCATAAATTTACGTATGTTTACGAAATGATAGTTTTCAGGTTTACAGAATATATATATGGTACATCATCCACAATTACAAAAAAAAAAGCAGGAAATGACAAACATAGTATCTAATGTACAGAGGAAAAGCTGTGGTACATGGAGGTACCATCGTTTCCTTTTTCT